AGAATTTTGGCTGCATCACTAGATATCATCCCTAGAGGATTCTTTGTGCCCTGTTGTAATTACAGTTTGAACCTTGTCGTAAACTACGCTGCGAACAACAGTTTATTCAGTGTAAACTCATTAAATATGTATATTAATTTGTTTTAATTTTAAGATAATAAATAGTGTTCAGTAATGCATTTGGTATCCAATGCGTTTAGTATATTATTTCGCTTGCTTGCAGTGTTACTTTTATATAACATATTGATGTTGTTTAAATGTTCACTTGTCTGACCTAAGTCAGCCCAAGCCCACGAAATTCCTCGTGGGAAAGAGCGCAATATACGCCTGTCGTTGGCAACAGCTTTGAGCACCTTACAGGTGACAGTGTGGTTTAACTCAGTTCCCCCCCTCCAATTTTGATGGAGAGCACCCTGGAAGGACGGGTCCGAGCGTCTCCCACCTCCCTTTCCCTACCACCAGCCTTTAGAGAGGACTTTCGCCTCTCATATTTGAGTGTTCTTATGCCGCACGGACAGTATACACTTACAAACATCCATGTCTTCTCTTGGCTTCGAACCCGGGGCTTTCGGCCCGGCAGTCAGCAACGCTAACCACTATACCGGTTGGGCGGCTTTTTATAACATAAATATCTGTATAATTCTTCAATAAATATGTTTGAGTGTGGGTTTTAACAAAGCACAAAAGGTTTGCATATTTAGACAAAAGATATAAATGTAATGTTTTTGGTTTTTCATATTATTCTTTTAATAATGGTTCATTTTAAATATTAACCATAAACAATGTCCCTTTAATATCGTCACTACGTAAAGGCGCTCGCTAGATATTTGCACGACGGCGCCGATTAGGCTTGGCGAGGACTGAATGTAAGATATGTTTATCCCAGAAATATAGCTCAAATGATCTTTGCATTAGCGAGATAACTTCTATGCAACGTTGTTTTAAGTTAGTTAAATTGAAACAATTAAATTTAAAAACAATCTGTTATACTACATAGTACAGTAAACAGTTATGAACAGTCTTATAGTATTAAAAACACGCGAACTCAAGTGCTGCAGAAAAATGCTTAGCTTTGCGAGAAAAGAGTTCGAATCCTTGCTTTCATGTTTCCGTGTGCTTGTCGACAACTGTGACAGAAACTGACTACAAATTTACATTTGGCGGCAACACTGTAGTCTGCATTTCGTTTAGATAGCTGCCTTTCGTAACGTCAATCAGCACGCTGAAATGGAAATCAAGAGAATTTTTTTTACTCACGGATTGACACGTCGTGATAGTCGCGAATGAAACCTATGAATTTATTAATTATTGAGCAACTGAAGTTTTAATTTCTCATGATGTGTTCGAAAGGTTGTTAGAGTGCAGTGTAATACCGGAATCAAAATTTCAGTAGTATGTGTTGTTTTATAATTGTAAGTATTATTTATTTTGTAATATTTTTACAGAGTTCTTATTATACAATACCGACATAGATTTATTAGCTAAAGACAAAATCATAGTATTTCAATATTTTTAAACAAGTGTATTTTGAGAGATTTAATGATTTGAAATCAAAAGATCCTGACGTTATAACCCTGACGTTTTTGACGTTATAATGAAACCATTCTCAGTCAAATTGACAGAAAAGAATAATATTATTTTAATATCAATATCTAATATCCTTCAAATTATATAACATTATCAAAATGTAAAGATTAAGTACTTAAATTTGAAATAATGTAAAATATAGTTTTTTAAAAAATATTATTATGTGCTTACGCGTTCGTTATGCATTGAATGCACACAAAACTGATAATAGCTTGATGAAATTTATTTTTCCAAATGTAGCACTTTATAGTTTTGGAACTTTTCGCACATGTGCTCTCGTATAGTTTTTCTCAGTATGACAGAGCATAATCATAGTTATCACTTCAAACTACTAAGAACATTGGAACACAAGACAGTACAAAATCAAAGCTCCCACTGTAATCTCTGATGTATTTCTCCAGTTTTATGTATTTTGTTATACATATTTTTTTTATTTTCATAAAATGACCCTATATATTACTTATTTCATATGTTGTAAAACTTTAATAAATTTTTCATTAACAAGCTCTCAACTCTTTCCAAGCGAGCGGTGGCAATATTGTACAGAGTAAAACATTTTTATCTCCACAACACGAAACTATCGGAAATTCTAAGAATATGCTGGATTTAAATGTTGTGTGATTTTGCAGCTTGAAATGAATTTTATATTTTTTAAGGGCGAAGAACATAATATATAATGAATAAAGCGTCAACAAAAAGACAAAACAGCCATCTTAATAAGAAAACTAAACATTGATATGAAAAACTGAGAAAATGCTGAAAAAAATAGAAAAAAATTTTTGACAAGGCTTAACACTGCAATGTGATTCTAAACATATGTTGTTAAGCTGATTTAAAATTCTTTTATGATTCTCTATTAAATTGTATATGGAGTAAGAGCGAAGAAAAAGATGCTTGATAATAAAGTTAGAAAGATTTAAAAAAAAAAAAAAAAGAGTTAGCAGTGGGGTGTGCAGACTGGTAGACTGCGAGCTCGCGAAAGCGTAAAAGAACTTCAACATACAATTTTTGGAGACTGTTAAAATCTGAAACCTTCCAGATTTTTTATATTTTATTTCCTTGTACATTTTTGTAACAAATTTTATGTGGGTTAGTCGTTGAGCATTCGATATTTTTCTAAAGTGGGCAGTAAATTAAAAACGTATCAGAAAGACTGCTGTTCGTGATATAGAGGAGGCTAAAGTATATGTGCGTGTGAGGGAAGGACGGACACAAATTAAAAGCAAGCAAAAAATAAGCCACATTCATATTACTTTCATTTCAATATGATCACTGACTTATATTATCCTGGTGGTATCGCTAAAAGCTACTCGAATCCAGTCTCACTACGATCAGCTTTATATATATAATAAGACAGACATACGTAAGACAAAGTTTTAAATCATTCCTTTTTCTATCCTAAAAATAGCAATGTGGTTATAATAAATCTTTCTTAAGTGCGCTATTTCAAAATTAATTCTTATCGTATGGTTCATATATAAACATTACTGATGTATATACTTACATGACGACAGAAGTGAAATTCATGTCTTTTATTCAATAATATTCAAAACTAAATTTTAACGGCAAATTAAAACTTTTCATTAGCCATTGGAAATACAGCGGCAACCTAGCATCACTGTTCTTAATCTAATGTCGATATCGTAATCTCCCTTCTTCTCATGCTTGCCGGACACACCGTTGAAGTGGCCAAATGGCTAAAGCATGCCGAATACTGCTAGTACGTCCCATATTCGAACCCAGGCGAACGGGATGTCTACATAGTTGGCTTTAGTTGTTTTTTCCATGCGTGACGTGAATGCGAGCCGGTCCTTCATACCTTCCGCCATGAAAGCATGCCTCCTCTTATACAAATAGCCCTTCTGTGCGTTGTCATGTTTAAATAACCAACTCACGCTTGCTTAGTAGCAAAAGATGTCTTCAGATTTTTTTTTTTTTTTACCGTTAAAATGTATTGTGAACATACACATGTAATTGTGGAATAGCGAGTACGTCTGTTTCTTCATTTGCGTACTGCTTAATTGAGCGAATTCTGAGAAAAATATAAGGGGTCTGTGATAAATTAAGAGAATCTGTGAACAATGGATATACAAGATCTGTGAGCATCCATCACTTTCCAGCTAATGGAAGAAAACTCACCAGAAAATCATGAGCATTAGCTATATTTACCTCTTACTTTCGTTCTGTTATTACAACTGAGCACAATCGACAGGAATTAACTTTTGTTTTGCTTTTTCGTTCAACAGGATACGAATGCGCTATTTAACTATCAAAGCAGTGCGACGTACGCAAGCCTGCGAATTTTATTCGGACGTGATTTCATGTTCAGCTGTCTCTTCAAATCCTCGTTTACATAGCAAATCCAGCATTCAGAAGAGAAAAAAGAAAGTGTCATGTCATCGCCTGTGATTAAATATATGCTTTAAAGATATAACATGCCAGTTATTCGAAAGTCAACATAGTGCTTACTGAAATTTAAAATGTGCTTTGAACTGTCTTATTCTTTCTCTCCTGTGTTTCAAGAATTAAGAGATATTCATTCATTAATTGATTCATTAACGAATAAAATTCTTTCATTCAAATCTTCGTTTAGTTATTAAATTTGAATTAAATAGCATTTCTTTTTAGTGAAGAAAAAATACGTATGTGCAACGAGGATTTTGAGATTTTATATCATGCGCTTCTGTTCAAAATTTAATTTTTTTAATTTTGATTTGATTATTTTAGTAAATCAAATAAAATCATTAAAAATTTAATAATTCTGATAATTACTTTAAATAGTTTTGATTACTTTAAACGATATTGAATTTATAAATTTTGTGGGAAGATGCGACTGTATTTTCTTGTCCTTAATTTTTTAAAGCTATGGAGAAATTAATTGATTAAAAAATGCAGTTAAAAATATTTTATTAACTTATCCAACAGCAAATTATTAGAAAATTATAATTATTTTGAATTTCATGTATGTAATCTTGAAGTAAATTTTTATGGTATTATAAATTTATTTTTCAGTAGTCATGCCACATAAATTGAGTGACGAATATTAAAATGTTTCAAACACTTCAGTTACAAAAATTTCGGAAACTTATTGTCATAGTTGTTACAGTTTGAATATGCTCTTCGAAATACTGTGATTAATTTAGAAAATTAAGTTAAACTGGTGCATGACTGATAATGAAATAATTTTGGTTTGATAATGAAAATCATAAGTAAAAAGTGTAATTCTGGCTATCATGCATGTGGAAAAAATGTATGATAATTATAATGGTTTACGAAATTCAACAATTATAACATTTTTCAATATGGTTAATGTGAAAATTTTATAAAAATAGTAATATTTGTTTCAATTTATGAATATTATCAGTAAGTTATTTGTCGCAATAGCTGAATTTAAAGAGACTCTCACACACGGAAAATTGCAAGCTATTTTTAATATTACTGAATTTGTCGTTTTTACAATTAATATTTTTTTACTATATAACGAATTACTACAGTCATGAAAGGGCCACTTACCTTATGCAAAGAACAGAAGCCTTGAAAAGGTGTATAATAGTAGTCACACATCAATAAAGAGAACTTGCCCAAATTTTTATCGAAACGTTAGTATTTTAAGAATAGTGGAGCCTTCAGCTGGTATAGGATTACCAATTAATGTGAAAATGTACTTTTAATATGATATTATCTTCTTTTTATATTAAAAAAATTATAAATATGAAGCTTTAATGTTATAAACTTTTGTGATTTGTTATAATGCAACCGAATAAGTATTAAATATGCGAACGCAGGTAATAAATATATGAAAAGGTTTTCTTAAAAAGTCTTCATAATTAGAATCAGCTTTTCAAAAAACAAAGGTATTTTCAAAAATTGGATTGAAGATCGAAATTTCTATGGAATTATAAATTTTATTTATTTTCTAAAAATGCTCGAAGATTTTATGCTCTAGCTTTAGAAATATTATTTCCACTGCAGGTTTTCTAGCTCACATTTTCCATGTGGTGATATATTTGTTTGTTGCAGCTTAATGGTCTCTCCTAAGAAATAACTTTTTAAACCAAGTCATCGTTTCTAAAGAGAGCACATGTACGGTAAGGAATATATAAGATAAAATTCTAAATTTAGATCGTGATAACCCTGAAATCTTATTATTTCTTTTTTCTATCCTAAAAAGCGAAATATGCTAATACGCACGTTTCACTTTTATATGCTAATACTAAATCTTTCTGAAGTGCATAATTTCAAAATTTATCCTTATCGTAGGATTCTTATATGATGTTTAATATCGCAGGTATTCATATAGCGTCGAGAGTTTGTAAAAGAAGGAAAGTTAATCCGACAATGTTAAAAATTATTTACACAGAATCTTATAGTTAACCAATGGAAATTTCGTTATTCTTAATCAGTTACCTGTATGGTAACCTTTCCATTTCTTACGCTCTTACCTTTGTCTTGAATCCTGACGTCTGTAATTTTTCCTTTTCTGTCCCCACTTGTAAGCATGTAAACGTAAATCTGTAATTGTAAAACAGTGGACATATTCTTCTCTTTTCCACTCGGGAGATTATAATGCGTGGTTATCATGTGGTGAAATTAGGTTTTATTTCATAGTCTCTTCTGAAAACATACTTGCGAAAATCCTAGACTAATAAATACTATATATGGGAATTCCGTAACATCTCTACAAACAGCATTTTACGCGTTACAAATAAAATAAATAAATGATGATATTACCAAGTATATACTAATACAGAGCTTTAACATTTACAATGCATAATAATAAAAAATTTAGTTAAGAAATGATAATAATATTCAAAAATATACATTGTATCAAATTAGTATAAATATTAAGTGCAATGATAGTTAAATTTTGTTTAATAGATTATGGCAAAGCACACGAGGTCTCTTTCCTAAGGGAAGAGATGACTTTTTGGAAGATTTTGCAAAAGAAAGGCTTGTATTTATTCAGTCATCCGATAAATAATGCAGTTTTTAATACTACTTTCATTTTTAAGAGTTATAATAAACAAACAATGTCCTTTTTAAATCTAAAATGTACTCTTCTTGATTCTCCGCTAGTTTCTCATCAGCTGCGATGCGATTTTGGTCTACCAGGTTTTGTAGGACGTTCTCGTCGGGCTGTACAGATCTTCCAGATGAGGCTTGTTTCTAGGCTGCAGTTTCCGGCTCGGAATTTCTGGAACTACTCTTGGCATTGGTGAGTTGCTCGATTCTGATTGTCCAGCTTACGTCCTATTGTCCGATCCCCATATACTGCATTAATATTCTTATAATTATTTACCTGAACTCATAAAGTAAAATATGCAAAAAAGCCAGTGAAATCAGACAACATTCTTCAAAATTTAAGAATAATAACAGGAAAATAATAAACATTAAGAATTTAAACAAGGTAAAATTACTACCTGCTTTTATAGCAGATTGATTCAGGTTAGACTGCCCCCTTCCTCTTCGACTTTTAATGCAACTGAAAAAACTGCTATGTTATACATAATAAAAGCAATGAAATCGCCTATGTAATCTGCTCCTTGCTTAAACAACTGAAAAATGGATCGATTTACCAACATACAGTTAACATTCTCACATGAGCCACACTAATAATTAAATGATAATTTATAATAATAATGTATGTAGCACTAATTATTGGCAATTCAATTAACTAATTTAAATTAATTATACTAATAGGTACAGCAATGCATATTGGTAAATCAAAATTTATTAATAACTTGAAAAATATCGAAATGAAAATGCAATAAAGAAAGTAAAATTAATGAAATATAAAGGCGATTATGCATAGGAACATAAAAGTGAAACTAAATGTTTAAGTGTTAAAGAATAAAAAAAACAATATTAACGACATGATTCATATAGAAAACACAGAACTGAATTCCAGATCTATAGCCATTCATAACAGGAAGACAAATAGAAAAGGAGTCTTCTTTAGTCTTCATGGTTAGCATAAACGAATTCCGATTCCCTGCCAGACTTAGAGCGAATTATCGTTTTGTCTGGATAGAACTACAAAGATTAAAAATGTTTTAAAACAAACCATTTTATTAAATCAGAACTGGAACATAAAATGCACGACTCCTGCTAACGAATCAACTAAGAATTTGGCGATGAAACTTCGAGTAATGTTTAATTTCAATATTTAATATAAGTCGTGGGCCATATATTTGATTCAACACGAATTTGGCTCAAACTTCTCACCGGCGTAACAATTTAAATGTGAGCAACCATAAAGCAAAGCCGAGCAATTTCAGTCTTATCTGAGTTAGCGAAACTTAATAACGTGGCTTCGAGAGGCGGAAGCACGCTCTGTTTTGCAATCCGAAACTGTCACCTTAAATACTTTCGAAAACATTTGCATTTTAGTAGGGATGCGGAAAGAGAAGTGACAGTAAAGATCTGAATTATGAAACAATTGGTTATCCAAAATAAGGGTAACCTTACAAATTGGACTGGATTAGCTATGGTAAAAAGTACTAAGGTTCTGTGAGAGAAGATTTGCTTTCTTGGAAGATTAATAAAATAAAATTAAGACAACAGAGGTACAGAAGATCTTTTTCTTAATGTATTGTAACTTATAGAAACATTTGGTATCTGTGTATTATATGTATATCTTCGCATGAGCGTCAAAGTTAATTTAAGACTAAATTATGAATACCGAACTCGTCTATAATTAATACTGAACTTCAAAATTAAGTATACCATATATAAGTATAGTGCCTAGATCTCAAAGTTTAGCCTCGCGACGTTCTGTACAGGCGTGAAGAGTAATACAATATGAAATTTTACTTCATAAGCTTTCGACCGTATTCCTTTTATTTGTAAAACTTGTGAAGGAGCCGTTGTTGTACAAATACTTTAAACATACATTTTAACAAACCGGAATGCTTTAAAACTGAATCATACGAACGCTATTTATGTTTGAAACAAATACATCTATTATACCCAATAGCAGTCGTATTTGATGATTTAACGTGAAAGTTTAAAGCAGAAAGATGCGAAAAGTTAATTTTCTTAATATAAATATCGTTCTTCATGTTCTTGAACACTTAGAGCTCTTTAAAAGCTCAGCAAATTGCAGTGGAACTAAACACCTTAATTTTTGACGAAAAATGCACTGTAAGGATTAATATTAAAGAACTACTTAACGAAATATTACAAAATATTTAATGCTACCATAACATTTTCAACTGTGAATATCGATGGATATTTTGCCTCATTTGTATATGAGATGATATAAACATATTCAAGAATAAACTAATGAAAGGATGGCATATCGATTATATTAATTATATTATTATCTGAGTATCTAATAATATTTCATTAAAAGTGTTTAAATGCATAAATGTAAACAAAATGATGCAACAAAATAGAGTTATTTATAAGCATAGAAAAAATTGCTAAATCGCAAATTAATTTTTATATAGTGAAAAATTAAATATATGAATTTAGTGGCAAAGTTGTTATGCACTTGCATGGTATTTTTGTCTTTTATTTATTCCATTACGCTTACTGAAATGTTTATGACAGAGAACGTTCTGAAAACTATCGTGTAAAATACGTTTAAACGATTTCTTTCTCTTGACTTAAATCTGTTGTTAGGAATCTCAGATATTTTTATAATAGTCATATTCGCATTTTTATAACATTACTTCGAAAGAGTAGTAGCACTCCCTAGTGCATGCTAGACTGCTGTAAGTAATACTTGGCTTCAGAAGTTTCATATTGTAATCCTGGAGAAGACAGAGTTGATTCCTAATGCTTCCTAGCTGTGAAACTTCTTCAAAGATCCTGACGTGCTAATATAGAGACAACAGCTTGTAAGACCAATTTTCGAGTTAAGACTCCTGACCTGTGCTTACGTATAGTCGTTATCAAGAATATTTGACATATTCGAGTAATTTATTATATGAGCCGTCATTAAAGGACCTAGGAATCTTTCAAGTATCAAAGTATAGTAAAGCCCCTGCTAACCGCCTTTAGCCGAAGTAATAATCTGAGTTTTTAAGTCTATGTTTAACTCAAAATCACAGCTAATTAGAGAGTAATTAAATTAAATTCGAGATTAGTTAGTTTATTTAATATTTGCGGAGGTTCATATTTCATTGAAATATGTTTATTTAACAAAAATTAGTAAGTTATCATTGCAATGACATGCTACTATAGATTTCAACAGAGGATAATGCAAGTTATTAGGTAATCCCTTTCTCTCAAATTACATACCTCAACGTATACTGAATGTTGAAAAATCCACTTTAAATTTGTTGAATGTTCAAACTGCAGAATTAGCAGAATTGGATGGAACAACGAAAGGAAAGAATACACAAATTAAAAAACAAATTTATGACTTAAACAAAACCTTACAAAATAAATATTAGATGGTGATTTCAATTTAATTTTAATATTGGTTTCCAGTGACTATCTCAAAAGTTGACCTGAATGGGTTTTTCAAAAGTACTTAAAAGTAATTAATGCTTCTTCATTATGCATTTTGTAACAATTCAGAAGAAGGCGAACATAAAGACCCTTTCCCTCCGAGAAACTGAAATTCTGGAAATTAGTGGAAGCAATTTGTATTACATAATATTTAGAGTTAATTGCTTTTCTCAGTTGCAAGGCCATCACTTGCGCTAAGAAAGGTGACACAACACACACATATATACATTGTTTTACTTGCGTCTGCAGATCTAATTGAAATGTTATATATGTCAGCTGCAAAGCAACTTTAAGAGTTCGTAAGAATAACTCTGTGCAGATGAAGTATATGAAGGTATATATCTTTCACTGATATATATGAAGGTGAAAAGTATACGAAGGTGTTTTTTTTAATTATAAAATGCATAAATTCTCTTCATACCTAAAATGAATATGTTATTAAATTTAATCTCTTAAACACAGGCTTTTAAAGAACTTTGCTCAAATTAGAAAATCTCAACAAAACTAGAAGAAACTGTTGGAAATAGAAATATGAAAAGTTAACAGAAATCTCATCTTAAAGGGAACATAAACCATCGTCATGTAATTGAATCAAAAGGCGTAAATTAGACTTTCTTTCTCGTCAATTTGGTAAGTGAATATCTAAAAGGAGACATATAAAAGCAACTTCTACATCCGGTCTAGCGACTAAAGCCTCAGAACACTAGAGTACATTCGAAGTCAAGATTTCCTTTTCAGGGTGCTACTTAGACAAAAACAAGCCACAGCGAATTCCCCATACGATTAAATCATGCAGAACGCATACTCAAATTTTAAATCTGATTTAGGAAAGATGTTAAAAAATATTTAAAAAGTTTTTTTAAATTTCTTTTATATAAGAACGTAAAAACAATTTAAATTAAAATGAAAAAATCATATAGTTTAGAGGGAAAAACGGATTAAATAATATTTGTTATACAATTCGTCTACATTTTTGCATCCCAAATAATTAAAGTGTGGGCCGCTCTTGATAAATTTATAATGCAATGGTTTATACCTTTGAAAATGCAATCAAATTAACAGATTTCGTTATTTAGGCTTCAATGCTTTTGTTATCCGTAATAAAAGTGCAGAGGAATTCTAGCAAGAAAATTATATTGATCACTTTTTCCCACTTAACTGTATTATAAATTGTTAATCTATTTCTAGTTATTTAATTATTTTATGTTTTAAATAAAAGCTTATTTTTTTTAAAAAATTAATATTTTTATTGCCATATCTTTAATCTCAACGACAGGTTATGAATGAAACTAGTGAATCAACGACAGGTTATGAATCAAACTAGTGTCCGCAGTGAGTCTGTGTACAAAATCAGAGTTCGATAGCTTATCAGGGAATAGTTTAAAAATGGATAGCAGAATTCTGATCATAGTGATAAATACCATGAAGGAATTAGGCCAAAACTTACAAACCACGGCTAGTTTAAAAAGAAAATTCTAGAAAATTTCGTACTTAATATTTTCTTGTAATTATTGTTTTGAAAGATGGTGAGGAAGTTTTATAATATTTCAAATTTCGGGTATTTATAACAGATAATTTTTTTATATTAAAATCCCCAAACATAACATTCCAGGAAAATTAACAAAATGAATTCTTAAAATGAAATACTTTCTCGAAGAATGTAGATGACCATCTGAAATGAAAAACAAAAATAAATAAATCTGAAATGATTCAGATTTTAAGTTACGTCCAAAAGAGCGTTTTCCTAACATTTTGTGTGGTACCTTTATTTATTAAATATCATGTTTCTCGCACTTAAACCATAAAATTCAGTTCAACAGCACTATCGCAAAATATTCTTAAAATGGGCATATCTTTAGAATTTCCGATACATAGCGTAGCGCGCTGGAGATAAATTTTTTTTTTCGTACAGTATTGCCATTGCACGCTTTGAAATCGTTTAGTTTGTTAATCAAAAATTCGTTGAAGTGTTACAAAATATGAAATCAATAATAAAACAAATTTCAAATTCAAATTAAGCCTCACACATTCCGATATTCCATAAAGGATTACGTTATTCAAATTTTGATGGCTCTAGGTACCGTTGTTTTATCACAATGTGAGAAACATACGTACATTCATGCAGATTGTTCGTTATTTAATTTCTCTAAATATAATGCAGGGCAATAGTATTTGGTGACAACAATTTGAAAAGTGAAACAATGCTTTTAGTGAATTAACGCAAAATGCCAAAACGAAATTAATAGTCCGTCTGGACAAATTGCTCCTTTAGAATAAAAGAAGCTAACGAGAAAGACTTATGACCACAGTAATACAAGCAAGAGAGCCTTAAAACTACGTCTGCCACCCGTGCCGAAAGAGAAGCGATTCTGTTTCGCACTGTATTATATATTATTTTTTATTCCTTGTACGAAATTAAAAAAAAAAGAACTGTAACTGCGAAAAGTTTCGGGTATCATATTTCAACTGAAATATTCATTTTGACTATTCCCGAAACCCTACGGATGACTTTATTCCATGACGTCTCTACATATGGACATAATAAAGGACTCTGTTTACAAAAGCCGATTGTTAAATGGATTAAAAGGGCATTTTTTCATGTCGTCTGTATGTGCATATCTAAGTATGCATGTATCCCGCGTAACTCAAAAACTAGAAGTGTCGTAGAACGTTGAATTTTTATAGGGGACTGCTAAAATACCTAGTTGTGCACCTCGTATTTTTATTGCAATCCGCAGTCCCAAACGTTTATACATAGATACATCCTCATATCCGGGTTAAAAGTGTTTATCCGACTTTTATTTTCTCAGTGGGTCTTAGTGATATACTTCCAGTTGCAGAAGTGTTTTAAACGACGCAACTGACCGAGATATTGAATTCCAAAATCTGCAATTTTTGATATCATTTTCAGCTTGCCTTGTGAAATTGGTTAATTAAGTTAGAATAATTCGAGGAAAAAATTTTTAATTTAAGTGCAACAAAATTACAAAAATGTTTAAATGACGGAAACTGGCAGTGTCATATTAACAAAAATTAATTTTGGATGATTAATAATAAAATCTACTTTTTAATGCGGTCTCCTGGTTTCTATAGTTATATTTAAGAAATTTTATATTCGTTACGAAAAAATAAATTACAAGAAGTTTGACTTCCGTGCGACAAAAATTGACCGGGATACTTAGTTTCAAAATTTTCAGATTTTCCCGTCGTTTTCAGTTTGTCTTGATGGATGGGTTTATTTAGTTATAATAATTCGACGAAATAAGATCAAATGCAGTGCAGTAGAAAACACGTATAATTTAACAGGCCGTATAAGAAAGTCATATGGTCCCATCAATTTTTTTTAATGTGGAAAATCATGCAAATAATTTTTTTTTTTATCTTTCTTGTTTTAAAAGAGGGCGAAAAATTGGTTTTATAATCTATGGGAAGTTGAAAATTTTATCACCGATACAGTTTTAGTTGTTGAAATTTTAAAACCGCAAATGCCAAACAGCGGGAAAAGAAACTGAGCGCTTTTGCCAAAATATTAAGCAACGACGTTAAAGTAATAGTCAAATTTAATTAAATTATTTTTCCGTTTTCTCTGATGGTGTAAACAATAAATTCCGAGATCTTTAGTTTATTCCTTAAACAGAGATATGATCTAAACGTTAAATTTAAAAAACTATAAGTCAAATTTTGAAACGCTTGCTTTACCACGTTGCATTGTCATTTACAATCAGTGTGTTTTCGGACTTTGAACTACTTTTTCGGACAAGTGGGTTAAAAATACTTGACAAACTTTCGATTATAGTGACAAACACCATAAGTGAAAATAGAAGCTCACAATAAAAAAAAAGAGATTATCTTGGTTTTAATTGTTTAAACATTCACAGCTGACATGCCAGTATATTTTCAGATAGAATAAGGCGCGGCGCATAATTATCTGAGAATATTTTCAACTTTGCGAATAGAATAACGCTGCCTATAACCTAAATCTTTTCTTTTTCTATTTTTTTCATGTGTTACATCTAGAAGAAGCTTTCTAGTTAGTAAATCATTCATTTTCCCTACTGATTAAAAACTTAAAAGGTTTGATATATCTCCAGATACTAATTTCTTAGATCTATACTTAATCAATAATTTCAAGTGAACACTAATAAATAAATAGCAAATGCTATCTTTTCAAGATCTAAGTCCTTAAGCCAAAACGAGTATATTTATTTTGTAGCTGCTCCTTAATTTAGAGTTCATTTAGCGTTGAATTTTATCGTTAATAATGTCTTAAAGCAAAAAAAAAAAAAAAATTCCGAATGTTACTTAATATCGCCACAATGTTTAGAACTACTTTTTGATTTTTCTTGATTAAATCGTTGTGAATATTTTAGTAATTAGAAGTCTTCTGTGTTTATCATATAAAAATTAAATTTTGTTTTTACAAATTACACCCATCGACAAAGCTTAAACTCTTCGGCAGGTATTCTAGAACCTGTAATTTTAAATGCACCTGTAGATTAATTAATTTCGATTTTTTAATTTTGAATATACATCTAGGATCTATATCTAGAAATTTATACCGTAAATTCACAACACATAGTCTACAACTATGTGTTGTGAATTTACGGTATAAATTTCTTTTCCTGTTCTGCACTGACGAAATGCCTACTTTCCGTTGTAATAAAATTAATCTTCACTTTTAGTAAGTTGAATATGGAAATGAGAAGAAGATAGAAAATTGAACTAAACCTTTTAATTCAAATAATAAAAATAATTTCGTATTTAATTTACAAGTGCAGTTGAATGTACTGCAAAATATCTGGCAGTATT